CATTTGACCAAACCAAAACCTGAATATCAGCATCTTTCACCTCTTTTGAACTAGTTGCATTTTCAGGATTATTTTTATCAGCATCTGCTTCTCAAATGAAGATAATGTCCTAATAAGCTCAGATAAATCATCCTCAAATTGCTCAGATAAACTCACACAACTGAAAATCTTGGACCACACATCACTCACCAATTGCTTCCTCTTATCATACTTAGAAGCATCATCCAGAACAGCATTTATGCCTTAAGCTTTCTTCAGAATGTCTTTTCTCCAACGATTCATGATATAAAGATCAAGAATTTCACGTATAGACTTGCCTTTCATAATAAACAGAATGTGTCTACTTAAGATGCCTTGACTCTCAAACATTTTACAAGTACAACTGCATTCATATGTGGCCAAGTCAAAATTTACATCAAAGTTTTTCCTTTTCTCATGATCAACAATTACAGAAAACTCCAAACCATCTCCATATAGAGAACTACAACTTTCAACACCACATGAGAAACAGGCTGCCTGGCATTCTTCTTCAAAATCATAAAAGATGGCACGACTGTAAACAAAAGCAGCATGCTTTTCCAAGTGCAAATGAGTAGCCAATTGAGGCTCAGATTTATTAAGCCTGTTCAACTCATCCTGTTCATGCCTTTGAGCATCAAGAGCAGTTTCATAATGGACAAAGAATTCAACACAGGTCACATGAGGGTTTATAAAATTATAAAAAAAATTGTTTTCACCTTCAGACCTAGAAGTAGAACGCAGTAACACACCCATAAACAAGTCCCTGGAATATGCAGGGATCCAAAGATGCCTAATATTGAACATGTATGCAAACCACTCATGATCTACAAGGTCAAATTCCTCCATAACATTGTTCCAGCCATCAACAAATACATGGGGATCAATTTCTCTATCCCAAACTATTGCACTTAGCTTTTTCAAGAACTCAGTTTCATTACAAAACTGAGTTCTAACCTTTTCAGGTACCTTCCTCATTATGTGCCACATACATAACTTGTGTTTAGTGCTTGGTAAAAACCTTTTGTATGGCAATACCCATTACAGGGTCTAGATCAGTGATTATGCAAGAGGGTTCTCTTCCCATACACTTCAAAAAAGTTTGAAATAGCCACACAAAAGATTCTACATCTTCTTTAGATAATAAAGCAGCACAAAATGTAACACATCTCTTATGATTATCAACTCCAGTAAAAGAGCAGAAAACCAATGAGTATTTATTTGTATCATAGGTAGAATCAAAAGATAAAAAGTACCCAAACAATTGATAATCTCTTCTACCAATAGCATCAGCCCAAAAAACACGTGTCAAGTGCCTGCTTTCATCAACACAATAATCAAAATAATAAACCCCCTTTACTGCTTTTCACTTTTTGTTCAAGGTTTTGAACAAACATTGCACCATCAGCATTAGAGATATAAACTTTCACGTCCCTAGAAAAATTTTTGAAGTCGTTTTTATTGCCCCTGACATTTTTAAACCCACCACAAAGTTCTTTCATGATCCTATAAGACATAACAACCCCTATATTTAACTTTGAGTTGTCAAAAATAAACTTCTTATGAGCAAAATTTAAACTAACTTCATATTTAGTAACCTGCCTAGTAATAGGTGTAGAAAAAGGGTGAGAATGGGACTCATAAAAAGAGTAAACCATATACTGGCCACCATTACAAAACCTAAATTTAATATTAGCAGGACATCGAACTCTCTTCACAGTCTTTTTCCTTAAACATGCACCTTTAACTTGTTTACCAGCTTTCTTGTTATTTGTCACATACCCTTCTTTGCTATATAATAAATATTTAATTACAGTAACTCCTTTACCATTATTAGAACCAACCTTATTTTTATCTACTTTAGTATTACTAGAACAGACTTTAAATCCACACTCATTAGCATATTTGTAATAAAAGGCAATACCATCTCCAAGACTATCAAATTTCATTCCAAGAATAGGTTTGTTTTCCAAAGAGCAACCTAGGATATACTCTTTATCACCACTAGAATTATAATATATCTTAGGAAGCACAGGTTGAGTAGGTGTTTTGAAAACTCTTACATTCATATCTTCATCAGTGACAGCAGCAGAACAATGCTCTACACTTTCAGTCATCTTCCTGAAAAGTAAATGAATAAAAAAAAAGTAAATAAACAATAACAAAAAGTTAACCATTTAAAAAGTATACTAATAAAAACTATTAGACGTATACTAAAAAGTAAACGACTCAAAGCAAAAGGTAAATAAAAAAGCTCAAAAAGTTAAACAAACTAAAAAAAATGAAGTTATAAGGATTAAGCAAAATTAATAATGAAAAGTAAATGACTCAATGCAAAAAGTAAATTTAAAATAACAACACGTTATACTACTTGATTAAGACCAGCCAGCCATATAGCAACTTTATACATAACCACTGCCATGAATTGGGTAAGCAAGTGTAAAAGCCCTAAACCGGAAATAAAAAAAAACCCTAAATCGTAAAAATAAAGCCCTAAATCAAACACTAAATCGTAGAAAATAAATCAGAGAACAATTAAAAAGTAAAAATAAACTAATTGATAAAAATTAAAAAAAAAAACCCTAAATCGCGAAAATCGTAATGAAATAAACAACAAAAATAAAAATAAAATAAAAAACACAAGAAAATTACCTCAATGAATGACAAAAATCGAAGAATACAAAGTAATTGAAGATCAAAATCGAAGAATTTGACAAATCAATGATTACAAGCAAAGAGAGCAGATCGCGAAAAATTGCCTTTGAAAGAATTTGAAGGTAAAGAGAGAAAATGCGGAAGAACATAGAGAGAAAAAATGAAGCAGCGCCTGGAAAAACAAGGGAGGTCATTAAACTGCCAAAATTACGAAAATAACATTAATGAAATTGAAAAAGGCGGGTGAAGCATGAGCCGTTGGATTAAGAGCGATCAACGGTCACGATGAGTTCCTAGTTCCTAGTTCCTATTATAGGACTTGGTTTTCACATGATCCTAATTCTATATATATATTAATGGTCAAAGAAGCATCTTAAAATGTCGTGCAAAGTCAAAATAAGACTATCAAATTGAAACGGGGTCGGGGGAAGTACTTGTAGAAACTATAACATCTAGGTTCCCAGCTGGTGCATACTTTAAAAGGTTGTCTCTTCGAAGGCATCTAATAAAATTGGAATGATATAGAGAAGATTAGCATGGCTCCTGTACAAGGATGACACACACAAATCGAGAGAAGGTCCAAATTTGAAATTGGGTATTTCTGCTGATGATCGAATCACTGAATGACACTTCTTGGTGTTGCTTAGGGTTCTCTTCTTTTCGATCAGATACCTTAGTGTTCCTTTCTCTTCAAAAAGACTATAATAGTTCTGATCCGTATAAGCCCCTTGTTGATAAAGTTACATCTAAAGTGAATGGTTGGTTTGCAAAGCATCTATCTTGTGCTGGAAGACTTCAACTAATCAAGAGTGTGCTCTTTGGCATCAGACCTATTGCCACATATCTTTGTATTGCCTAAAAAGATTATGAGAGAAATTGAGGCCAAATTTAGAACTTTCATAAAAAAAAACTACAAAGAAAGCTTTAGTAGCTTGATCTCAGGTTTGCTTGCTTAAGGTGAGTTGTGCTCAGAATCTAATTTCTTTACTTGAATAGAATACTCCTACCATCACCAGATTGTTATGGGACTTATTAGCTCACAAAGCTCACAATTTTTGGGTTAAGTGGGTCCATAATTATTATTTCAAGGATGGATATTGGTGGACTACGCCTTCACCTAAGAAATGTTATTGGGTTCTTAATTAGGAAATTCTTAGGATGTAGGAAAGTTGTTGATGATATTGAGGGTTGGAAGGAGTGCAACTTGGTGAAAAAGGGAGTATTAAGAAGTTTATCAGTTGCTTATCCTTTATACACCTAGAGTTCCCTGGAAAAGAGTGATTTGTAATAGCTTGGCTTCCCCAAAAAGTCTTTTTAAGTACATGGTTAAATTTGAGGAATAGATAGGTGACTAAAGATAGGATGCCGATCTAAAATATCTAGTGTGATTTGATGTGTTTTTTATGTGCTCATGAAGTTAAATCTGTTTTACATTTTTCCTTTAAATGTTCTTACTCTTTGCAGATTTGGGAGAAGATTATGGTGTTGCTGAAATACAATAGAAATGTTCAGAATTTTGATGAAGATGTTAGATGGGTTCTTCAGCATGGCAAGAAGGCTAGACCAAGAAACAGATTGTTGAACACGTACTTTGCTGGAACAGTGCATAGTATTTGGTTACAGAGTTACTCTTTGATTTTCATTGGAAGTTGTAAAGCTAGAGACGTGTTGTTAGGGATATTATTTGTAATGTTTGCTTGTAAATAACTTGTTAGTGACATTCAATTGCTTTTTATGTTTTTTTTTTTCTCTACCTCTTGTTGTTATCTGGTAAAGGGAGCACCCTTCCTAGAAGATGACTTTCTGGTTCCTAAGTTGCTTCTTGGTCTCAGAAGTGAACCCTTCGTAGAAGGTGACACTTTTATCCCTCAAATAGGTTTGGTGGGTATTTGGCCTTTGTGATCTTGTGGTGTTTTGGTGGTTACAGCTTAACTCTTTGTAAGTTGTAACTTTCTCCTTTTAGTAATTAAATCTCTATGGATTACCAAAATTTAAAAAATATTGATTGGGGTAAATATCACCCCTGCCACGTGGCCCAATGAGGGCATAACACGTGTCACCCTCATAAAGGCCCAAGGGGATCCAATTAGAGGATGCCACGTGGCATTGAACCCCCAATGGGGGAGCAAATTCTCATCTGCTATAAATAGAGGAATCATCCTCATTCAATTGCATTTATAAATACAGACACAAAATCCGAGCAATATTAATTGCGGAATCTCCTTGAATAAGGGAGAAATACCTATTTACTTTCCGCACTATTACCATCCGGAATCATACTAACTTAATCGTCGGAGGCGGAACTCCACCTAACCGGAGTTTCGTGGTTTTGCAGGCACAGAAGTCAGGCGCGCATACTCCGTATTGTAACTCTCCCGAGGGACCAAAAACACCCGAAACATTTGGTGCCGTCTGTGGGGAGAGTACTACTGAGATGGCATCTGATGCTGTACTGAATGCAGAGGGCAGCCGGCCTACGACTGACCCTGAGGTCCATACGGACCATGAAAGTGGCAGTGGTGACGACTACAATGTCAAAACTTACATGGCCCCAGACGGGTCATTCCGCTCTAGGCGCACCCGTTCCAAAGAAAAGAAGGAACGAGACCAAGACAAACCTTGTCCCAACAACCCAGACAACAAGCACCCTGGACAACCCTAGGCGGCGGAGGGTGCTGCCCCCGTCACTAGAGACGAACTCATGAATCTCATGACTAGTTTCAAGGGGGAAATCAAAGACATAATCAAGAAGTCGGCTGGCTCAAGCAAGGGTCAGTCAGCAAAAAAGACTTCTTCCTCCGGGAAGAAGAAAATCAAAGACTGGGTGCCTACTCCGCATCCCAAACCCAAGGGGACGGATGGGCCCCTGATCGACCTCTCCAAACTTCGTTTTCCTTAATCAGGGAAAAGGAAGGCCATCCGGCATACACAGCCGGATGGGTCAAAAAAGACTTTCTCTAACGCCCGGATGTTTCATCCAGGAGAAGAGAAGTCAGAGAATGTCTCAGTCGGCTTTAACGTCGACCTACTCAGACAGTTTCTGAAATGCTTCAATGAAGCACTCGGAGACGCAGCAAGGGAGTCAGTCGCGCGGCGTGTCCGCACGTACTGGCCCTCACGTGATCCAGTAGGCTCCGTATGTGCCCCAACAACAATACGCCCCGTATGGATCTCCATTCATGCAGTCGGCTCCCTTCGGGGGTCAGGCGGCATACCAAGTCCAACCTATGGACTGGCAGCTCCGTCTGCTAAATCTTGGGGAACAGCCTTCGGCTTTCTATCAGGAGATAACCGAGGCGGCGCAGTCGGCCAAGGTTAAAAATGTGTTGGTTGGTGCCTACGACGGTACCACCAACCTAGAAGACCACCTATGGCATACACCAACCTCATGTATCTACAGGGGTTGGATGACGCCTCATGGTGCAGATGCTTCCCAGCTACGTTGAAGGGCATCGCCTAACGATGGTTTGACAACCTGCCGACTGGGTGCATCAATAATTTCAAGACGCTTGCATACCTGTTTGCGTCCAACTTTTCCATCAACATCCCTGCAAAAAAGACAAGTCTCAACCTAGGGGTAATACAGCAGAGTGACAAGGAGGGACTTCGGTCCTATGTCAGGCGGTTCAATCTGATGAGAATTCAGATTCAGGGGCTGTCTGACGAGGTTGCATATACAGACTTCTTCAAGGGCCTAAAGGATGGGTCAACTTTTAAATTTGATCTGGTCCGCAAGAGGGTAGCCACCTTCCAAGAGGCGCTGATGGAGGCGGAGGCCTATATACAGGCAACTGAGCTCTGCGCCATCAAACATCCGTCAGAACCCAAGCGGTCCGACAGGAGAGACAACCGGCCAACCCAGCCGGCCAGGAAAGAAGAAAAGAAAAGAAATCTGGGCAGCAGACCGCCCAGGTCAGCCGTCCTAGAAGAAGCAAAGGAAGTTGGAACCGTACGTCCCAAAGTACGAGTTCAAAAAAGACTGCTCCTTCATCCTCATGGAGATAAAGGACCGGTTGACAATCGAAAAACCGGCTGCAATGAAAAGCTCTGTCAAGAACAGAGACACAAGAAAGTATTGCTAGTTCCATGAGGACGTTGGCCATGACACCAATGGTCGCTATAGCCTCAGGCGGCTATTGGACCGTCTGGCTAATGAGGGGGCTCTGGAGTCCTATCTGGTGAAGTCCAAGGGCAACCCCAAACCAAGTGGGGGACAACCGTCCAAGAAACCGGCTGCTAGCTCTGAAACGGACAAAGAGCACATCTTCACTATAGCAGGCGGCTTCGCAAGCGAAGGTCCTACACTTCGGGGTGCCAAAGATAACATCCAGAAATTATCCAACCCAGAAGATGAGGGCCAGGCGTCAAAAGACACCTTCCCTGAGGTCTTCATCTCTGAGAAAGATCGAGGCATGTTCAGGCGTCCCCGTGATGACCCCATTGTCATCGAATGAAAAGTTTC